TAGTCCACTCAGACCTCTTCTGACTTGATGGTGCTTTGGGTAGATTCAATATAGGGGGAACTGGATAGTCCTGAAGTATGCCAACCCAGAAAGAAATACCCTCCGGGTTACTTTGCTGTTGCTTCTGTGCAAGAGCGACTTCAATGAATTGTGGAGAGTTTTTGGTCAGCGGCAACTCTTCGCCTAGCAACTCTGCTTGAACCTCGTTCACTATGAGGCTGAGTGACCATCCGTCTGCCTGGATATGATGCGCCGAGAACAGCAAGGTCAAGGACACTCCGGGCACGGTGATCAAGTGGAGCACGTTTACCGGGACAAAAGTCTCCCCATGTTCATCCAAAGAGAGCATCCTACTTCGGATATCCATTGAACGTGCGTGGACAGCGTCATCTAGTCGGTCAGCCGTTGTCTCTTCCTCGTTCCAATCTATGTCTAATCCTGGCTTAACTTGCTGCATCTCCTCCTTCAACAAGAAGACAGTGCGGAAGGTAGCGTGTCTGTGTAATACTTTATACCAGGCTTCCTTAACCCAAACTTGTCGAAAGTCCTTTCCGTGTTTGGAATGCGGATGCGAAGTAGCGAGGCGTTCGCACCGGGCTTCTTTAAGCCTGTATGGGCCATCTTTGACTGAAGTGCTGTCATGGGCCCCGTGGCCAACTCCTGTTTGACACTATCTTCTTCCTCATCACCATGATCGTTGTCTATTGTCGCTTGTGCCGTCTTGTCTGCACCCGGGCCATTGTTTCGCATAGCATCACATACAGCGCCGAGATCTGACAGATTCAGCAAGTCCTTGAGGTCCAAACTAAGTTGTTTGCTACGGAGGTATGATATGACCTTCAAAGCTGCAAGAGAATTGCCTCCCAAATCCAGGAATCCGCGATCGTTCAAGACCTCTGAGAGAGGTAATGAAGTTGCGCTGGCAATGGCCCTCTTCAGCGTCTGCATTTTCGAGACTCGAGACAGGCCATCATTGTCATCCGGTGGAATTTCAACATCTAGGAGCTGTTGCAGGGCTCGATTATGGGCTTTGCCGTTGGGAGTTAGGGGAATGACCTGCACAGCACGAATCTCGTCTGGAACAAGGAATGCGTCGTGAGTGCGTAAGAGGCTCTGACGAAGCGACCGAACATCCATGGTCTCTGGTGTAACAAAAGCCACAAGGCGACCACGATGCATAAAAGCCGTAGCCATATGGGCATCAGTCTCCAGTAGCATGGTAATCACCTGGGAATCAAGGTTCACCAGAAATCCTCGATTCTTAACGAAACTGTCCGCTCGACCGGCGAATTCGAGTCCGTATTCTGTTCTCCGCGCGAAGTCTCCCGTCCGGTAGATTCGCTCTCCATGCCAATATGGATATTTCTGAGTGGTGAGTGCCTCGTCCTGGTAGTAACCAACTGCCAAACATGGTCCCATCATGCAGATTTCGCCATAGTCGGATTCGGAATCTCCGTCAAGCAATACTACCCGGTTATTAGGTGTAGGACGACCGAGAGTAATTGGCTTTGAGGGGTCGACTCGGCCAATCAGACAACCGACTGTAGTCTCCGTCGGCCCATATCCATTGAATATAGTGCGGCCTGGAGCTGACCACTTCCGAATGAGTGGCAGATTAGGAGCTTCGCCGCCAATGATCAAAGTTCTGAGCTGGGTGCATGCCTTGACATTGTGAATGGCTGATAGCATCGATGGCGTTACTATTATAATAGTAGCACGAGCTGCCCAACTCTCGAAATCTGAGATGGCCGACACTATCAATTGAGCACCGTTGCAAAGCGTAGCAAAGATCATCCCTGTACCACCGTCAAACCCCGGGGAGAAGGTGAGTAGGGTCTTATCTTCTGGCCGAGGGTTGGTATTCAAAGGCGTTTCCTCATCACCATTCACAACATAGCTCAGCAGAGAATGGTGAGATACCATGACCCCTTTAGGCTTCGACGTCGTTCCAGATGTGAAAACTATGTATGCCAGATCCGTCGGCTTCATTCGAACTCGGGGAACCTCCTGCTGGGCTCCTTGTTCGCCGCCAACGGCTGTCTCGACTGCGGCTTTCACTTCATCGAGTGAGATGACGTCGTACCCTGGATACTCGGAAGTGCCCAAGTTCACTAATACACTTGCTTTGACTCTGTCAAGAGTCGAAGTAATGCGTTCCTCACCCCAGGCCTCGATGTCCATAGGCACATAGCACGCGCCAGTCTTCAGCACTCCCAGGAAGCTGGCGACCATCTCGCAGCTTCGAGTTGCCAACACAGGAACTATGTCCCCCGGCTGAATCTGTCTGTTGGATAGAATGCGTGCGATCCTAGAGGCGGCATTGTCCAATTCCCGATACGAAATCTTTCTAGACTCAAACCATATAGCAGTGTGATCAGGTTGGTCACGAGCCCACCGTCCAAACAGATCGCAAACTGATGTTGCCTCTTCTTCCATGATGGTGTTTATCTCGTATTGCTTCTCACCGAAAAGGAAATCTTGATATACTTAAATTGTAAGTGGTTTTGGTATTGTAATTAATGTTGGGGGCCATTCGCAAGTGCTGAAAGCCTTTTGTCAGTCCAGCGGTCTCCCCCATCCCTTGGTACCTACCGAGCTACCCGATCAGGATCCTCGTGTATGACCAGTCACAACTCGGTCCGAAATGGAATGTGATTAGTCGGCATAAGAAACCACCGTAATAAGACGCATGTTGCATGCTGTTATATGCAGTCAACATAACAGGCGGCCAGATTAATCTAATCATTTATTAATGTGATGGCTAGAAGCATAATGATCAAAAGAATAGGGGTTGGTTCCACTTTTATGCAGGAATGTGTGGTTATACGCAGACAAAGAGTATTGGAGGAAGCCATGGATGTCTACAATGCAAAGATACTTCAAATGGAACATGCATAAAAATTCATGTTAGTCGAAGCTGCACATTAAATACCGCCGGATTATAGGTTACAAAAATCACGAATGCCAAATCAAGGTCGCTCCGTGTGAAACCTGTACGCTCATAGCAGGTACCTAGGGTACCTGTAAGGGATGATAGGGTTGGAAGTGTCATACCTACTAAGGAGTGACCAACAAATCTCTCAAAGTAGCATTGTTACCTGAACTTCAGTTTACAGGTAAAATAGTGGAGAGGTCCATTTTCTATTATTTAAAAGGGTGGTGATATGATATTTTGAGGGGCGATGGTCACAACTCAACACAAACTATTTATAGAAACAGTAAAGAGGACGTTTAACAGAATTGTCACGATAAATGTCGAAAATTCATTTATTATACTATTATGGAGGAGAATTACCAGGAACACTATCACTCCGATATCCTAGCGAAGTATCTATGACCTAGAATCGGGCTTTAAAGCACAAAATAGGGCCTCCACTCTGCCCTGTGACATGGTCTCTGAGTGTATACTCAGTTGCTGACCCCTTAGTATCTTCTCCCGCTTCCCAGGATTCGACATCATGCTCCTTTCGCCGAAAGTCAGATTCCCAGAGCAAGCTGGCATAGGTGAGCATCACCTAGGCCAGAGCGAGGGGCTTACCTACACAGCTCCGGGCACCAATGCTAAAGGGGGAGTACGGTTGTCTCTATCCAGTACCCTGTTTCGTAGCTCCCCGCCATTAATCAGTCGGTAGGGGCTAAAGACAAAAGAGTCTGTCCAGTATTTGGCATGGTGATGGATCGCGTATACTCCCAGGCTGACCACGCATCCCTCGGAAATGAAATCCTCTCCGATGCATATTCCTCCGGTCCCGACTTGGCGTCGGAGCGAACCGCCGCCCGGAGGAGAGAGACGTAGTGTTTCGTCGATGCAGCTCGTAGAAGAACGCATGAGTTTAGTTTGGTCCAAGACGGCTCTCGCCTTCTGAGGTGAAAGTCGTCCGGATCTCCTTGACTACGCGCTGGTATATTTAAGGGGAACCTGATAGATAATATGAAAGAGTAGCCATTGTCGTTGACGTGATATCGGGCCCTGTAGACGGAATGGGCATGTTAGTAAGTCGATACAACTTCTCCATACAGGAGCAGAGCTTGGGAGAGACGTTCCAGTGGTAATCCGACGCTGCAGAAGCCACCGACCTTGAGTTCCACGTCGTGAGCGAGAATTGTCAATGTGAGCCTCTTTGAATGGTTGATATGAGCTTGGGGTTTGACCATTCAGTCGTATGTCACGGATTACAACGACAATGCAAGCGTATTCTATGATTCGTGGAGCAGGGAAATCCGTGATGGTACTGTTGCCTCGAATAAGGCGGAGGGAGCGTGGGGGGTAGGCTATGTTCTATTCCTCTGTGGTATGGATACACTCCCATCTGCGACGCAAATCTCCTGATAACGGTATCCCAATAACAACTAGGTAAGGCATGTTCCCTAACATCCTTCGTCAGAGAGTCGTATCGTGGCAGCGCATATTCTGCACTTACGAGGGCGATTGTCTTGGCCATGCTCGTACCGTGTACACTGTTCGTGGCATTAAGAAAGGAATTAAGGCTTGCGTCTGAGCTTGAATTCGGGAACATCCAAGAATTATTCCTCAACTCCTTTTGATGACACGTTGTACTAGCCCTCGAGTTCCATCGCCTTCATAAACAGCATCATAAACGTCATCCCACCCTTTGCATTTGGTGCGTTGTAACCGGTAGCCCGCAATTCTAAGTGTACCCATATTCAGCTACACCGTTAGGTGGTGGTTCTCTCAAGTATTCGAACTTGAGTCAATGATGAGTAAAATTACTACATCCACGAATACTGTTTTCCCTCCAACTATGCCGAAGTCTCTTCTAAAAGGGGCGAAGAATAGTGACAGCTCTGACAGGCGTAAAAGAGCAGAAATCTCGAGGAGGAAGTCGCCCGCAGTAGCGACTGCACATAAAAACCCCCATGAGGCAACCACCTAACCGGTAGTTGCTGCCTTCCCCTTTCCCGGTGTCCCACAGCAATAACCGAGCCTTGCCGAAAGGGTCATATAGCATAATAACCAGTAGAACTTTCAGAAACAAAAGTCCGGGTTGGTTTAATGGGAAAAACACCTGCCCCGTAATGTGGCTGCAGACACCGCTCAAAATTGTGGTTGCCACACACCGCAGACGCGCTAACTCCGGCGACCCGCCCATGAGGGAGATGCTGGTTCGAATCCAGCACCCGGCAACCCTTTTTTGCTTGATATTCCTTTTTTGCTCAATATTTTTCTTCCGTATTATTTTATTATTTCCTACCCTCTTTCCTGTTTACGATTAAAATGCTTTCACCCACACATACCTTATTAGCAATTACTTGGAGGTTTTTTGAAATCTACCCAAGGAACCGAATAATACGAACATCGCCTCCTTACCCTTTGATTCCATAAATCACAGACACAAAATACTTACCTAGCTAGACAAATACTTGTATATAGTGATAAGGTGGAAATCTACATCCCTCTTCTCTTGGGGCCATAGTGTCAGTATCTACCTACCTACTTGATCTTGTGTCAAGGTCTAGCAAGTAGGCATTCAGGGGTAGATACCTAGGTACTTAGAGAGTATCGGAGCGGAGTATCATTATCCCGGCTTCCTAACTTCACGTGACATTTGATGTAAGCAGTACATCGAATCTGTGTAATATGTATTCTAGATTCTAGTTCTTACATCAAGCAAGTCACCAACATTTGAGATTCATAGGTATCGTGATCCAAACACGACCCCCCGAATCCCAGGTACAGGTAACGGGGCCAGAAGCATAATCCAAACATTGTTATTCACTAAAAGCCCCGAAATTGAGGAATAATCCTCCATACCGCGCTCTTGATCCCGTAAAGAGGGAAATACGACTGCTAGATGTACTTCCGGGAGTCAGCAGCACGACGCTGCAGGCTAATCTCGTTTACACGTCTCTTGCAGACCCAACGCCGTACGAGACTATATCCTACTGCTGGGGTGACGCGTCAGCCCGCGCTACAATCATGCTCGATGGCTCTGCTTTCGATGTTCCCGCTAGCTCCCTCGCAACGCTCAAATGTATGAGGAAGCAGCATGAATCGCGGCGGGTTTGGATCGATGCGATCTGCATAAATCAAGAAGACCTCCACGAAAGGGGGTCCCAAGTGGCCCTCATGTCTCAAATCTACGAGTATGCACAGTTGAACCTCATTTACCTCGGTGACGAAGACGAGATGGCTAGGAGAGCTATCGCGTGCATCACGGACCTACTTCAGGAGATTAACGTAAAGACAAATCGTCTTTCCGAGTTCCACCATATGATGAGGGAGTATAAATGGGGAGTGAATAGAGCGCTTAACCAATCGATCGAGTGCGATTTGGATGAAAGCGCTCTTTTCTCGTTCTTTGACCGCCCCTGGTTTCGGTAAGCTGATTATAATCGTTTCCAATCTTAATCAAATGGCGTCTTACTCCGAGCGCAGACGTTTGTGGGTAGTTCAAGAAGCTGCTCTGGCGCCCGTTAGCATGTGTTTTTGTGGCCCTAACTTGGTCATTAAGCTCGTCGACCTACTCAGGGCGGCGATCTGGCTTTGTTATAACCAGAATTCTATTCCACGACGTCTGTTTGACCACGATGGCTTACATAATGCAGCAGATCTATGGTCCTTAGTTGATGATAGAGATGCTTACAATGCCTCCGAGAACGCGTATGAAGTTGACCTAAGCGCCTTGATTCTCCTGGCACAGTATCGACTGTCGTCCGAGCCCAAGGACAAAGTCTTTGCAATTGTCGGGTTATTACCAGCACCGTCCGAAACAACCGAAGGGGCTGATGCTTCTCTACTAGTGACCGATTATAACAAGCCATTTGTGCGAATCTTGTGTGATGCTACCCGATATTCTGTTCAGGAGTTGAACAGCCTACGGATTCTCCAGGCAATCCGTAGTGATGTCAAACCCGATGGCTTAGATACCTTTCCTTCCTGGGTTGCTCGCGTGGACCGCCCTTTCGATGAAAAGCGCGACGCGGAAAACATTCCATTCAACTGCTTTCAAGCAGATAATGGCGTGGGCGTTTTCGCAGAATACGCGAGATCAGACTTTGCAGGGCCAGAGACACTCGCCCTTGCTAGGCATATGGTCACTCAGGTAGACAAAGCTAGTGATCCCTTCACATCTGAGATATGGGAGAGTAGAGAAGCGCTTGCCAAACTGCTCGTATCAATTCTCGACATCGTCAGGGCCGGCAATCAAGCAGAATTAGAACTATGGGGAGATAACGAGGGAATCGACCATAGCTTCTCTCCTATGCTGGCATCGACGTTGATAGCTGGCAACATAGTTGGTCGGATACCAGATGATGACGAATTACGAGTGTTTCGCAGCTTTTTTAACGCGTTAATTGCTGGAGCCGAGACCAATGATCCCGAAAATAAGCTTTATTACCGTCTCGAAAGCGCGTGCCGGAACCGTCGCTTCTTCATAGGAATCAACGGCTTCATTGGTCTTGGTCCTGGCTCGACATGAGCTGGAGACTTTGCCACAGTTCTGTACGGGGGCTCTGTACCATTCATGCTCCGAAATGTGGTACAAGATTGTGATGATGATCCACACTACAATATCCTGGGTGACGCGTACGTGAATGGGGTAATGGATGGTAGTTGGATACGTTTAGGCGACGACTTAAGTCGTGAGGCAATGCTTTATAGGATAATATAATAAACGCTAAAAATGTAGTATATATGGTTGCTAGTGGTACGTACGAAGTAGCTCCAGCTTGGTGTCTTTCGCAATCTCATTTAAGATACGCCTTTATCAAACCTACCTCGACATCTCCCCCAACGTTCGACTAGAGAGAAATCACACCAGAGACCACACATAAATTCTTTAATGAACCAATATTCCAACCGATCTTTGAATTAATCAGAAGAGATTACATTCCATATAAACTAGGTACCTACACTACCTCCAGAGTCTCGGCCCTAGGACACCTCTTATTTCATATCCCCATAGCAATTACATCTTATGTTGCTCTCTTCTATGTAGTATCTCTACCTACCGTAACGGTGCTAGGATAGCCTTCTCCCCTTACAATTTTTACTACACTCTTTCCCCTATACCGCATGAACATTTGTTACGCTCGTTAACTGAAACTAGCCGACGACTTGAACGACAAGATGCCATCCGACGCTGCGACGATCACGACCAGACAGAAACAGCGTAACGCGGTGGCTAATCCTGTTGCATAGACGAAACAATAACGGTCCAATAAAGTACCGTGAACTTTAGATCTAGCGGCAATCTATTCAAGGCATCATGCATACTGTGTTAAGTATATATCAAATTAGGATCTTTCTAGGCTTTGCGAGGGATATCCTGCATACGGACATACCGAGCCTTATCTTCACCTTGCTAGCCGTTATTAAAAATAACCCTTTCAAACTTATTAGCCTAAGGCATTGAATGTTTGTAGTATAACCTACAATATTCACTCATCACATCGATGAAGTATAGCTCTGACGCGGGGTTTCGATCTTCGGGAACAGGAAGCTCTAGGACGTTTAATAACCAAGGCCAGGAGGATTTGCTACTGTCCTTAGGTATTAAATATAAATATACCTTTGATTGGAATATTTTAATAGAGGATGCTAGATTCGAAACATTCTGGGGGCAATTCCTATAAAAGAATGCAGTAGAAGTAATATCTCGATTCAAAGTTTTAAATGATTGCTGATGTGCGTTTAAGGATGAAGACCTCTAGCTTATGCCTGACGAACATGACCATCTAATAGGCGAATCCGACAAGTCGGTGCAACTAAATTATAGCCATTGCTTGTTCCCCTTGTGAGATATGAAAGCGCCACCATCTCCATTGTCGACACTGCACCTTTCCCATACTGACATCACGTCCTGAATGGAATCTTCGGGGGTAGCTGGGCCGGTGAAGTGTGGCGCATACTCTGAGAACTTTTGTGTCATCCCTCCCAAGGCCTGCAGCTGATCCGGAGTTGCTGTGAATGAAGTCAGGACGCTGATATGAGCCAAAGTGTGATGGGGATCGTACCATTCTTGTAATGGCCAACATCGACCATTCCTGGGCAAATTCCTAGGAAAAGGACACCGTCCTTCTTATACTGAGCGTTGAATTTGGCGGTTACCATGTTCATCGCGGCCTTGCTTGTGGCATATAGAGACGCATGCTCTATGTCGAACCTGTTCACCATGTCCATGTCCGCCATGCCGCTAGATATGGTTATGACCTTCTTGGCCTGGCCCTTGAGGATAAGCGGCATGAACAAGTTGAAAAGATAGATGTTAGAAAGGACGTTGGTTTTCATCAACGTGTTGAAGTGCTCCTCCATCTCCTTCGGCGTGTTTGCCCTATTTGTTTCGACATGTCAGCCCACCTCTAAGTATCGAATACAGATATAACACCTACAAGACTCCAATGGGATCAAATGCGTCCCACGTGGATACGAAGGCTGCGTTGGCGACGAGGTAGTCAAGACGCCCACCAAGGATTCTAGTAGCTTCCGCAGCTGCATTCTGTCAAGGCGCGTTAGTAATGACTTAGATAGCCTGTGGTATGTCTCTAACCTTTAGGGCATCATAGTCGGTGATGTCGGCCTTCAAGATATATACGTTAGACCGCCCCTTTAGTTCTTCCGCGACCTTCTTGTCGGTCGTGGGTTTGTCTCGAACCAAACCAATTACCGTGTTCTTTGGATCGTTGGATATTTGGCGCAGGAACTCAAACTAAGAGACGCAGTTAGACTTGATTCGGCCATATGCACCAAAAATGTTCATTGAACTCACACCTAGACCCTTCGAAACGCCGGTGATGACGTACGACGGCATTGTGAACGAATAGAGAGATATTTCGTTGTAGAGTGTTCTGATAGTTAGAATCTCGAGACAAAGAAGCTTTGATGCAGACTGTAATTTTCTACATTAATGGTAACGGCAAGAAGTTACTGAGCAAGGCTTCAAATATATACCCGTTCTCCTCGAGTCTCCAAACTATCGTCCATAGAGACTTGTCAACCAACATCCTCCGAATCTAGGCTAAGTTAACTATTGGTAATCTTGATTGCTTATAAATTTCGCGAATAGTTGACACTCTTCTCAATTCTCGGGAACCTTGCATGAATGAATGGCACCGTTGGAAATCGTACGTTAGTGTTAATAATGAGCAAAGAGACAATTGGATTATTAATGATCGGAATTAAGGTCTTGAAGGTGAATGAGAACTTATCCCGATTCGTGCTAGCATTGCACCGTCAAATGCACGTCCGCGCAAAGTTGCCGAACATCTGAACCCGCGTCTGACTTGCATGAAGTGCATCAAGGGTAAAACCTCCATGTGCCGGTCGAGATTAGTCTCTGCCAAGGTAATAGGGGCGGCGTCGACTAGGCTAAGGCAGGCTATGAGAAGTTTATCGAACCGTTACGGGGTTAAGCATCCTGAGGCCGAGCTGAGCTAGTGGCAACGTAGGCAACTTTCTACGAACGCGGCTTTACGGGCATCATACATCCAACAACTAATGCATCAATCTCAGATAATCCTTGTGCTGCCCAAGCAGCCACCATCTCAACTACGCTAGAAAAGAAGCCAATAGTTGGGAGGAATATCAAGTTCACTAAGCGAGAATCGATAGAAAGGGTTTGAATATGGCGATTGCGAATCGAAGCTGTGGGACGTGTAGAGGTAGGCCAATATCAGACCCAACACTAAAACAAATCTAATGACGTTGATATCAGATCGTAGAATCCTCTGTGATCGGGCTACTCCGACTTGTCTGCAGTGCATCCGATCGAGGAGGAAATGCCAGGGATACGGTCTTCGGCTGTCCTGGCCGAATGCAGGTGATAGTAGGCGCGCCATTGTTGGAAAGATACCATTCCATGCAAAGAAGCCTCGCCATTTCTCCGACGCACACCTTGTTCACGTGTCTTTCCTGGATATTGAGATGCACTACTACTTGACATCTTCGGTACCAAACAGTAAGCAGCCCGCTAATCTGTAAGATAGGGTGGTAGGCAACTGACATGCCTTAGAATTCACTCGGCCAATCTTACAGATACCTATGTTATGGAATCCATCAGTGTTGGATATTAAGGACAAATACCTATTTCAATACTGTATGTGGATGCAGCCTTTCCCAGCATCACTTCAAGAATTAACAAGCCTAGTCCAATGCGTTGCTTCTCGATCTCTAACCACATTTGGCCACGACCCTACCAACTTGGGTAATGTCCTCGTTCGTATCGCTCTATCTAGCAACACACCTTCTTCCGCAGCAGTACTCCGGTCGCTGCTCAGCTTGTCTTCGCTACATCGCTACGGTATTCAAATGCAGGCTGTCCAGCTTAAAGTATCTGCTCTCAACGCCTTGGCAGCTGCCTCGAAGGGTGGTATCGGTCCTATGGAGGCAATCCAGCACGTCGCTGCAGGAATGCTATTGTGCTCATTCGAGGTTAGTATCATGTTCGCCCTTACAAGTTCATTGTGTGCTAACTTTGTTCATTAGATCCACCAAGCATCGTGTACGTCAGAGCAATGGACCTGGTACATATGTGGTGTCAAGGAGGTCATCAAAGCAGCCGGCCTCAGTACACTTCACGGGGATAGTGATTTAGCTATCTTGGTAGACTGGGTTTACTATCACGATGTATTAGCCCGCTTCAGTCTTCGGCATTGGCGCGGAGATGCCATGCCAATCCCACCAATCCCACGAAGAGCCTGCGCAGAGGTTCGTATACATACGTGATCAATATGCCGGAGAAGTTTTCTAATTGGAAATCACATAGATATCCCTTGCAACGCCGTCTACTTTCGCTATCCTAGACTTATTATCGGAGGTCTGCAACGCGGTGTCCGCGGGACCACCAGACATGATGACTTCCGAAGAGCTGGACGATTATAAAAGCTTCTTAAAAGTGCTCGATTGGAGAATCAGGAACAGTCTAGGCCCAGTTACAGGAGAAGACGATTCAGGTGCGGCGAAGATCGTGGAGTTGTATCGACTGGCGCTCTTGGTATATCTTCATCGGGTATCCGGAAATCTGCTCGACCAGCAATCCGGGACTCAGCAGCAGATCGACCAAGCCTTCGCCATATTTTCTAAACTGAATTCCTGTGAGCGACAATTTCCCGTTTTCGTCTTCGGTTGCGAAGCTCGGACGGATGATCAACGGGCTATTATTCTCGAACTCATCTTCAGGACCGAAAAGAATATTTCCTCACGATCCCTGCTGCACGTCAAGCTACTGCTCCAGGCAATTTGGGCCCAAGATGATCTAGCTGACCAGGAGCTGCATTATTGGGACAAACTTAGTTGCATGATTAGCTTGTGTGCAATCGTGCCTACATTTGTCTAGATATTGGCGTTGTGTTACCAAGCCATACTCAAGAACATATGAATGACGATATATCTGACTCAGGACTGGTGAATACACCGGCTTTTGCTGTACAATCATCGCATATCAAGTACGTGTATATCCCTAAGTACCTACCTACATACCTATGGATTATCACACTTAAGTAGGTATTCATCATTTATCCAGACCGTGAGCCTTACGTGAGTCCCCGTTCCAACAGTTTTCACGGCAGGCCTGGCAACCATTCTCTCACCCCAAGCTTAAGAGCCATCTCCACATAAAACGCACTACAAGGCTGAGGGTTTGCGGCCATTACTTGAGCAATTGTCAATAATGACTGTTGGTGTTGGTGTTGGTGTTGGTGTCGTAGAATGCTAGATTTTACACCCACATTAGTATTAGTGGATGAGTGGGTCCAGGGGGATACTTCTGGGGTTGCTTTTCGGGTTACATTTTAAGTTCATTTCTACACTTATCCAAACGCGGCTAACTGCTTCAAAACGCCCATTCTCACCTTCTCTACTATGGTACCTTCCTCACTCTCCTTGACTGCTAGAGACACTATTTAGATGGTTAGTCATGAAAAATAACAACCTCCTGGAACAGTCCGAAGGTCTCCCGCCGCAGCTCTTAACTTCAACTCAGACGCGTCGAGGCTCGACCTGTCTCTAATTCCACCAAGGAGTCGGCTAGCTAAGCACGCAGCTGTTAAAACAGCCCCACACACCCTCTTACAATGGCAGACCTCACTATGGCGGCTGATATACCGCCTTATGCTATCACCGAATTTACTTTCAGCGACTGAAATACTGAATCCGAGGTGACAGTCATGTGTAACGGCAAGCGCTTAGTTATCCGCCTCTTCGCCGAATTCTTTGACGAATCACCTCAACTCAAGGAACGTTATCTCTTCTTCCTTCGAGTTGCCGAGGAGTTTGAGATAGATGGCTTGACCGTAGATGATTTTTATGACTGGGTTATCGAACCATTTCTTCCTCTTCTTCGCGACCTACCCTCTCTGAACGGAGGCGCCGTATCGACGCTTCATGACTTCTTCTTCCCCGAGACCGAGTTCTTTGCACTATGTGCAGTTGCCGAAGCACTCACCCCACTCCCGTATGTAACTAGCGAGGTCGACGGGGACGACCCTAGGTATGGTGTTCGTCTTCCAAACGAGCTCTGTTCACGATGGCCATCGTTCGTTCCCTCAGATATTGAGATCTGTGCTGAGCGACCGGAAGAAGCCCTCTCGGGAATGCCAGAGAGGGTACGGCCTGTGGGCGCAGAGAACTTCTTCTTCTTCAAACTACTGCGACAGGGGGACGTACAGTTTGCTAAACGAGAGTTAAGCAATTACGGGAAGATAGACGATGCGAAGCTAGGAGAAGAGTTATGCATCTCTCGCCTGCATGGCCTGGTCCGAGATGACACTGGTCTGACATTCGGACTCTTACTCACCAATATCGACTGTAAGGCCTCAACCTTGGCCTGTGCTGCGAAGCCCGGCGTACCTATCTCCTTGCGACGCAAATGGGCTGCTCAGGTCAAGTCTACCGTCGAACGATTACACGCAGCCGGTATCATTTGGGGCGATGTGAAGGCGGCGAACGTCTTAATCGATGTTAATAAGGAGGCATGGGTGATCGATTTCAGTAGAGGATACACGGAGGGATAGGTAGACAAGGAGTCCGCCAGTACTTTGGCATGCGATCTACAGGGCCTTGCGAAGATAATAAGCTTCCTTGAGTTCTAGGGTTTAGGGGCGTATAACGCAATGTAAAGCGTTGTATATCGCTCAAGATTCAAACTGTTCCGATGCCGTAATCCTACTCCCTCGTGATGAAGACGGTACATATATGCGGTGTTTCACTGAAATGGCGTCCTATTGGGCTCCATACGCAAAGAAAATTCTATAAAAAACAGAAAGCAGAAACTGTTAGTAGTTGCGTAGACAGAGGAAAAAGAATGGACGAGCAGGGAGTTGAACCCTGGACTTCTCGCAATTGAACCCTTGAAGATGCGAAGCGAGCACTCTACCACTGAGTTACACGCCCGATAAAATGCCATGTGGTGAATGGCGTGTTCTGATTGGTCTGTCAAACATGTTAGTTATGTTTATAGGTCAACCCGCCGCTCCCGGTCATCGAGGACTTGACCGAGATATTTCCGATTACCTAAGGCTACCTGCGTACCTGCATTCTCGTCCATTTGACCTAACCTTCCCCAGGATGAAAGGGAGCACTTCCTTTCCATATGAATGCCTTCACATGGTACTGATATAGCGCTACACGAGAATAGGGAGCCTAGGTAGTCAGCGAGTCATTCCGATCAAATCAGGCTTCATCAACGTGACTAACAATGTTAGGTTCGCAGGAGCGAGTATTTAACACCACCAAATATTTTGTATCCAATCTAATACACACTTGATAATCCAGTGTAAACGATACTGCGTAAAGTATCACTAAGAAAGACCATATATTCACGGAAGACAAAGGGGTTTCACCTCCCGAGCTGCATGGCGATAGCAGAGCCGATAAAAGCGGCAAGAACATCGGCGATAACCGTAGTTCAGAGGTGAACTTCTGACACGGCCTGGACCTAGATTGATAGCTAGTAGATAATGAGAAAAGCCGCGGTGCATAAGGGCCTTGTCTTGTCGGTGTAGTTATCACTGCGCCAGCACCGACCAAGAGCCCGATCACCTCGGACAAAACTAAAAACAAGTCTTACAATGCCAGCATAAAAGGAAACGCCATATTAACCCATATCGTAAGCATAATTGAATCTGAATATTATAACAGGGATAGGTAGCAATGGTAATCAAGTTGAGATCCTACAACTTGGTGATATTAGTATCATCCTCTCGTGTAGACATATACGAAATAGAGGTATTAAAAGTCGAGTCTCACGAGGCCGATTAGGAAAGACCAATAAGCGCTTCAAGTCTTGAACCTCGTTCTCCGGATCACCGCGCTCATATATTTTTCTAGTGTGCCTTCAGGGTTGTTCGTACACATTTTTAGGGCCGCTGAAGTGATATGCGACTCAAGAAAGCCCAAGTCGGTAGTTACATAATGGCGAAAATACGGTGAAATATTTCGATATCATCTGACAAACACTATGGTACTTATTTCTACTAATTATTGTCAACATGGAAATTAATAAGTCTAGCATAATTGGCGCTAGAGCATAGGTTACATTCGAGATTACCAAATATGGTAACATGGCGAAGGATTATAAGTGCAGAGCCACGCTTCCGCAGCTGGTCTTTCTTTTCTTTTCTGTCCCCCAACTTCCCTCATTTCAGCTGAACGACCAACCAACCAACATAACACAGCGGCACCAATGCCGGTCTCGAAGAAGACAGTACTCATCACGGGCTGTAGTGATGGCGGCATCGGAGCTGCCATGGTAAAGGTGTTCCACGAGAAAGGTTATCATGTGTTTGCGACGCTGCGCAACACGTCGAAGGCAGGGACACTGACGAAGCTTAACGATGTCGAAATTCTTGAGCTTGAGGTGGCCTCGGAGGAATCGATTGCGAAGTGCGTCGAGCAAGTAAGAAGCCGTACTGGTGGTACACTCGATATTCTCGTCAATAACGCCGGGCGCGATTTTGTCATGCCGTTACTGGATGCAGACATCGATGAGGCTAAGAAGCTCTTCGATGTCAATTTCTGGAGCATGCTCGTCATTACGCAGGCATTTTCACCTATGCTTATTAAAGCTAAAGGCGTCATCGTCAACCACGGCTCAATCGTCTGGAACCTATTTATTCCATGGGGAGGTATGAGAAACTCAGCATACATTTCTTGTCTGACATACTTGACATTGTTCACTAACTTTTCTTTGATGTATACGCAGGCATTTACAGCGCATCCAAGGCAGCAATCAAGCAGCTATCGGATACGATGCGCGTTGAGCTACAGCCGCTAGGCGTACGGGTAGTGACAGTGGTGATCGGCGCGGTCGACACGCCAGTCTTCATTAATTCGAATCCGGAGCCATTTAAGATGCCTTCGAGTTCGTATTATCAACCTATCCGGCAACTCATCGAGGACCAGCGCGATGGGAAAGTGCAGCCTAAGATGGAACATGTTGATGTGACGGCTCGGCATATAGTCAATGACGTTCTCGGTGGTGCGAGTGGTTGCATTTGGTACGGCGAAAAGTCCACAGATGCTAAGTGGTTGAGTTGGCTGCTCCCAGCTTGGGCGCTAGAGATGATCACAAATGGGACGAAGGGCTTGTCGGAGCTCAGGCAATACTATGCGACGGGTTCGTGAGGGGGCTTCGCCATGCAAAAGTGCAAAGCATGAGGAATCCCTGGTGATAATCAAACCCATGTGTTTTGTAGTATAGTAGCATCATGAACTACAATCGAAATATGAGAATTTGCGATATAGTCTGCCTAAATATTGACCTTGCCAAAATCTGTTTCCACTTTTGGAACTGAGCCCTTAGCAAGGTGGACTGAGCCGTAACTTAAGTGTCATGTCGATCCTAAATCTCGAGGTCGTTTTAGGTAGTAAGTCGTTTGTGCGGGGTAGGTATAATTCAGAAAAGGGGCGAGAGTACGTTGCAGTATGGACTGCGCTCCCGGGCAGTGAAACGCGTTTCCTAAGCGCCGGGCGCCGTGGCTTTGCGAGACGCGCGCGGTTCAATTCCAGTTGTAGAGCGCCGCGTGTGGGTGGGATTCATGACGCTCAATAGATCTTTGGATAAGTAAATCTTCGGTAAATCACAAGTGACTTAAGAGGGAAAAGCTGCATTGGCTAAAGCTGTCCGGTCGATGAAGTGAAATTAGAGCAAACCTCCGAGTCCTTACCTCTCGTAGTATCTCTTAATACATTTCTTGAGTAAATGGGAACACGCTGTTTAGGTAGGTAGATTATAGGACTGAGGTGTGTCGGCCTTCGACCAACAAGCAGACATCCCCCTTACTTAATTTCAAACCTAAGACCAGACCAGCTCAGCATACTGCTATAAAAACTAAACACCGATTACCACATCCCTTTCAAGTGGGCCTAGATTCCGGAGGAAAAGGAGGCTAAAGTCCAGCACCAATGCACTATTAGTGACATTGTATGATACGGGAGTCGTCGTGGTGTCGCGGGTAATTGTGATTGTCTGCTGCAAAACTGGTTGCAAAGTTGCGGCTAGTCTGGTCGTCGCCTGCTCCTCCCATTTCTCTAAGATGATCTTGGATTGTCGTTGATCAAATTTGGCCAGTATTACAATCTTCACGTCATGATTAGAGGCTGCGAACCACCAACGCATATCCGCGCGTAGCTGATGTAGAGATTCCGAGGCTCCAGCTTCGATAACTAATGTTGGCCAATCGCGAGGTCCTAAACGTTGAGACTTCGGAGCGCCGCTAGAGTCACCCTCTCCTCCACCACCACCGCCTTCAGGATGACTCGAACGAAAGTAAGTAGCAGCTTTGTGCAACCACGCATTTCGTGGTACTCCACTCGCGGGAAGCTGTTCAATATACTCTCCATAGAGCTAAGTATGGAGAACCTCGTGAAGGCTAGTAGGGATCGTGATCACTAGGATTCGTGCTTCGGCCTGATAGTGTCAAATAACCTGATTAGATCGCGTTGATTGAGAACAGTTACAGTAGTTGTATTACATAATGTGCCAAGATGGCTAGATGTCATGTAATCTCCTCTAGGGACACAATTACATCAGAGACCATAGCCATTTATACACACAACTTTCCAATTCAATCAGGATCAGAATAGAGTGCTTACTGATAGATAGCGGCGCCAACGAAATTTTCGCCTTCGGATTGTTCGTTGTTCTTCAATCTCAGCGAAGGAAGTGAGAGATACATCTAGATTGTTAGCTTACAATATAAATAGAAATGTAATGATTTGTATACTTGTAACGATAAGGATATCTCCAGAAACACGATCGATCGCTTCGAAGAGATCTTATGTGCTCGTAAAGTTAATGACCTAATCCTCGTAATTAGGGTCTGATAATGCCGAAGTTGGTACTACCGGTATCCCGTTACTGGAAGGCATTCCCCGTGGCATAATAACCTATCGCAAGACGTAGGCACCTACAGTAGGGTAAGATTATAGTGGTATATATCCTGCGACATAACCCGGCGCGAAAGCTACATCTCCAGTTTGTTAAGGTTATAGGGGATGTTGATGTTATGATCAAGATTAGCAGCCTGAGACTGTCAATCTATACCAAGTGTAGTTTCATTAGGTAATCGCACCTTCCCACAAGCTCCAGGGGAGCCCCGGGGTTCCTCCGCAAGCGCGCCTCGCAAAGCTGTTCTGCCGGCGCTTAGGTCACCTGACCTGACTTGGCTTGGCAGTGTGCCAGTGCCCCTGTTGCCCGAGCTGAGGTTGAGCTACGTCATGTTTTTTTGTGAATAAGAAAAGTCATAACAAATGCCTGTCTCCTTGTTCATTCCGAGCTTGCTTCTTCAGCATATCGTTTACATGACGATTAATATGAATTCAATACTGTGAGTATACATAAAGCCATTCAACCCTATTACTACACTGAAGCCATAGGTATGCTCTCGGAAACCATCCTGCTATGAGTCTCATAGCTACCTAAACCAGGTCAGGTCCCTTGTGTTACATATAACATATCCTAGAGTTGGATCCTCCTCTTCCTTTGTCAGTCCAAGCTTCCAGTCTCTCATACATCATCTCATCAACATAACTATAGGTATTTGCTTATCTCCGAAACGGTCGCTGCAGTCGTACTTTACATATATGGATAGGTAAGATTATCCTGACGTCGCCTACTTATTTAAACTGGGCTTGAAAAGGTTTGCGTGGGCCTCAATGACTTCACTGAATCATCCCGGCTCGCGCGGCTCATCGTACGCGAGTTGTGATAAGCTGCCTTGGGGTGGCTAGTCCATTCGGCAGCCTCCTCGCCGCGTGAGAAATCGACTGTCATAAGTCCTGAAGCGGGTGCAGGTAAGCCGAACATTTGGTACTCATCGTCGGGGGCCTCGAGCCCTTTGCACGTGTCCAAGATGGTGTCTTGGAACCGCCGCCACTTGCTAGCCTTGGTG